TTTTTTCTATTAGACTCATCAAAAGTTTTTTTGTTTGTTTGTTCAGATTGCATATCTGGAAAAGTCATCAAGTTTTGAACAAAAACAAAACAAAATTGGTCCAAAATTACAGAAAAATTTAGGGTTAATGTAGACATAGGCTAATGCTAATTAGGCTAATGCAATTAAATTAAAGCAGTTGAGATATTCTCACACACTGCCAGTAAAAGTACATCTTTGACATATTTGATTACAAAAATTGTGCATTACGAATTGACAAAGCTGTTAGTAGTCTTTCTGAGGAATTCACAGAAATAAAAGCTAACGACTTCCAAATAGTTAAATATTGGCAAATGTATTCCCAGCAGGCACATGACGTCAATATAACATCAGGTTGACGCTGGACATGACGTTGGACAGATGTTGCATTTTGGTTGAGAATGAAAATTGGGTTGACGTCAGTATTTGACGCCAATTTGATGTTGACTTAACGTTGGATTTTGGTTACACAAACTAAAAACAACAAATATCAATGTCAGCTGATGTCGGTATTGGGCATCAATTTAACATTGACATTAGACATCGAATTGACATTGAATTTTAGTCACCCAACGTCACATCCGAAATGTAACCAAATATCAACGTCTTATGACGCTGTTATCACTAAGCTCTATGCCTGAACAAGCAGATAGATAATAAAACAGCTATTTTAATAACCAACATGTGATGATGAAGAACAATGAGTAGCTAGAGGATTGTTAAAAGAGAACTAGAGAGTAATGCTAGCAATGATAGCAGAAGGAAACACAAATAAAGTGCTAATGCTTCAGACACCACTTCCTCTCGGTCTCAAGGACATCTATCATCTCATGTGATGACATTAAGAAATCAATCCCAAAAAAAACGGCAACACTACAGCGATATTTGATTCTAGCCTTCCTGGCTGACTTTGCATGACAAAAGCAGAGCTCAAATCGTGCATGGTTGGCCATACTAAATAAATTAAAAGCAGGGTTGGAACCCAAATAGCAGCGCAAGGGGAAAGAAGATTGATCCAGTTGAAAGATCAGAGTCCTCACAGGCATCTGAGGAAAACAGGCTGAGAGCTGCCATATGAAGACAGGCTGAGGAGACAGAGAACAGGGCACTTTACAGGACCTCTCTGCAGGAGACGGGGGATTTAGGACAGGTAAAGTGTGGAAAGTGCGATGTTCTCAGCAGGCTAGAACTACTCTAAATCCGTGATCCACGTCTGGAGGGCAAGGAATAGAAGTGCTACTGTGTTACCGGAGGATTTGTAGAGGAAGAGCGATGGAATCAAGTTGATGGCAGGAAAAACATCCCGGCAGAGCCGTTTTCCAGAGGTAACAGACAGGTCACACTCACAAGCTGGTTAGACTCAAAGCTTAATATGTCAATAATCACTGGTTTCCCATTTCAACGGACAACTAGAAGAAGTCTCACTTGGATTCTCGTCCATCCTACATTGACTGACAAGTGGATCACAATTCTGTTTGGGGGAAAAGGCCTTTATAATCCTTATCGGCAATTGGAATGACTCATACAAACACCTCATTATACTTCTCCACCCATTTCCCCTATCAAACCTCCTTCACCAGATCAACACGTCTAGTAACCCCTTGAGACAGACTTCAGATGTGTGTTTGTGATGCTGTAACCTTCACACGTTCCCTCCCCCCTACTTCCCTATTTTTGTCGTGGCCCCGGTCTATCAACTACAAAAAAAAAAAATCACATAAAAATGGATCAAAGGGGTTTCGGTAAGTAAAACTTCATTGTGCAAAAACATTTATTCCTATAGGAGTGGTTGCCGGGATGCGCCGATCGTCAAGTTCATTTCCAGGCTAAGTAAGTCAGTTCTAAGCTGTGCCGGAGGCTCTGCCTTATTCTGATACATCCCATAGAGACAGCAGCTCTCAAAGACCAGATCTAGACCGTTTTAGAGAGATGTTTACATCTTTATCTCATCATATGAAAGCATATATGTGACCCTGGACCACAAGACCAGTCTTAAGTAGCACAGGTATATTTGTAGAAATAGCCAACAATACATTGTATGGGCCAAAATTATTGATTTTTCTTTTATGCCAAAAATCATTAGGATATTAAGTAAAGATCAAGTTTCATGAAGATATTTTGTAAATTTCATACCGCAAATACATCAAAACTTCATTTTTGATTAGTAATATGCATTGCTAAGGACTTCATTTTTGCACCCTTAGATTCCAGATTTTCAAATATTGTCATATCCCAATAAACCACACATCAATGGAAAGCTTATTTATTCAGCTTTTCGCTTTGATGTATACATTTAAAAAAATTGACCCTTATGACTGGTTTTGTGGTCCAGAGTCACATATGTGCATAAGTCTTGAGTTTAGAGCTTTGAGGGGATGTTTATATTTTTTTCATCTCACCACTTGACAGTAGAAACGTGCCTGTGCATGCATGTTATCTATCTATCTATCTATCAGCTGAGAAGAGCTACATTAAAATCACAACTAATGTGGAAAATTACAGCAGCATTTGTCTAGTCTAGTAAGTTATTTCAGAATATTCAAAACATTTATAAACGTGTCTATAAATAATACAAAATGCAAATACATATATAAAAGTTAGTGTAAAAAATGTCAACCTTTTAGGGTTATCTGCCATCACATGACTTTTTTTTTTAATGTTTACCAAGTTAATGTCCTTGAACAGCAAAGATAGCACTAGATACACAATCTATTCGTATCAAAACACCCGTGTATGTTTCTCCGTAACGTTAATTCCGTGTATAAACACTCACCTTTGAGAATCACAGGTTCAGTCTGCCCTCATTCAGCCCGCTCACCGCCCGCTCTCTCCCACAGCAGATCCGCTGACTGAACGAGCTCGCTTCGGCGCGATGCTTTGAGCGGAGCATCTCTCTTCTGCTCAGTGCTCACCTCTCTCTCTTTCTCTCTGATCCGGGATGCTGCGGTTGCTGTGTGGTACCTGTTAACGCTGACCCCTGCCGGCCACTGCGGTGAACTGCAATCAGAGTACACTTGCGTAACACGCCGTCAACCAAGCGGCAACAAAGAACGATAAAGTTAAACAATACGGTGTTTTGAAGTAATGTGTTTTTAAAAGCTTAAAATTGATTAATTAAACTAAATGTAATTTATTTAAAATAATAAATATTATAAAACATAAAAAATAAATTCCAAAATGTATTTTATTTACAGCATCAAGTTGAAACAGTAGGTAGGCTATACAGTCATTTACTAAGTTATGCATACTGAATGCGCCACATTTGAAATGGTCCAAAAATGAACACACAAAATGACAAAAACAAAATACTTGAACACATTTTAAATGCATTGTTTTTTTCTTTTTTGTAATATTGGGTATATCTTAGATCATCTGGCTCTTTGTTATTTTTACTACTTGCCTCATTACAAATATATTATTCATATTATTTATTAATGTGTTATGCAACTATTTAAGCAGCTGATCATTTATACATTATGTATGTATGTAATTTGATTCTAAATTGTATCTGCCAAGTTTCAAGAGTTAAAAACAACAACATGTGAAATGTATTCACGTTCAAACGCCGACTCAGCCACAATCAAAAATAAGAAAACGTTTTAATCTACTAAAACCTTTGTAACCAAAAATGTGAACAAGGCCTCTGCACATTACTGTTTTGAGCATTAAAAAGAGCATTATTTTGTCATTTACAAATCACTTAATTCATGGAATATCAACAAAGAAAGAGAGAATATTGATTGCTTGAGAAGTATCTAGTCTGCATGATGCATCAATTTACTGCTTCAGCAGGTTAGAATATATGAAGAAGTTTAACTAGAACATATAAATACATATTCTTAATATAAATTCATAATGTACATTCTAGACTAAATGCTCCTGAGGTCAGACTGGATGATGGAGCGTTAAAACAAAGTTGAAAACATCTGATTGGTTATCACAGATGGCAGTCATGCTCCTGAAAAAAAAAAAAAAAAAAAAAGTCTGGGATACACGAAAAAACATCTATATTTAATTCTAAACATTTGTGATGCTCATTATGCAATAATGCTAAGTTTTTAACAATTAACATAGCCAAGATTATACTCACCAGCTTTTCTACCTCTATACTACTATCATCAATTTATGATGGCGGTAACTCAAAGGCCATTGTCAGAAGAAGAAAAAAGATCAATATTTGACTAATAAAACCTAACTTTGACTAGTTTAAGCAGATACCTAATGTGACATAAGTGATTGCTCTTGGTAATACTAGCGTAAATAAATTTACACTACTGGAGAAATTTGGAATAAAAAAAAATTGAAAGAAGTCTTTATGTTAACCAAGGATGTATTTATTTGATCAAAACCCAGTAAAAACAGTAATATTGTGAAATATTATTACAATTTAACATAACTGTTTGTGGTTTGAATATATTTTAAAATGTAATGCATTTTCAGCAGTCATTACTCCAGTCTTCAGTGTCACATGATCCTTCAGAAACCAACGCCAATATGCTGATCAGCAGAAACATTTCTTATTATCATCAATGTTGAAAACAGTTTTGCTGCTTCAGATTTTTGTGGAAATCGTGATACACTACAATTTAAATGTTTAGGGGTTTAAAAAAGATTTAAATATTATTATTATTATTTTTATTAATATATGGATGCATTAATTTGATCAAAAGTGTTTATAATGTTACAATAAGAATTATATTTCAAATAAATGCTAAACTATTTACATTTCTATTCATCAAATAATCCTGAAAAAAAATTTTTACGGTCTCCACAAAAATGTTAAACAGCTGTTTTCTACACTGGTAATAATAATAACAACCATGATTAATAATTGAGCACCAAATATTAGAATGATTTCTGAAGGCTGGAGTAGTGGCTGCTGAAAATTCAGCTTTGCCATCACAGGAATAACTTACATTTTAAAAGATATTCAAATAGAAACAGTTATTTTCAATTGTAATAATATTTCACAGTATTAGAGTTTTGCTGTATTAAATAAATGCAGCCTTGGTGAGATAGTGGCCTCTATTTATATTATTATAATCTTTGGTAGAGTACCTAGAAATGATTTCAAAACTCTTTAGACTATTTTTTAATTGGTAAAATATTTTGACTGACATAAACACAATGGTGTATCACAATGATTCATGTCCAATTACCTTAAATTACATAAACATACCCCTATTTATCAACTTCTCTCCAAATATCCTAAAAAAAACGCCTGCTTATGCAACATTAAGACGCAGGCGAAGAGGCAGACTCCATCTGCATAGACGACACAGTAGCCAGCACTGTGACAGATAAAAGCAACTAACCCTGGTGACTGCCCAACCACCACGCCACCAGGTGGCAATACTATCTAAAGGTCTAATCTAGGTGGACCAGCAAAAACCTACAAATTCTGGATCAGGGCAGTTCAAACCAGCCAGAAAAGGTTTCTAAATGGGACTGCTCAGACACTACAGATTCAGCAGAAAAGCCAAGCATGATTTGATTTCCTCCTTTGTAAAGGCATGTTCAGATACGTAAAACCCTAAACACTGACATCTAAGATTTAGATCAAGCAACTCTGGTTTAGTTTCAATTGCAATAGTAAGACAAAAGGCACAAGTTAACTTAGATCATTCAATAAAAGCAGCCGCCAACATAAAATACTGCAGCTCACAGATGCCTACATTGTTTTTTTTATTCTACAACCGCTCAATAAAAGGTCCTGTGCCTGTTTTGGTTTCTTCAAGATTTCTGAAGTAGGAAACGAAACCCTTGAGTTGTGTTTTAAGTGACTCCGCTCACTTAAAACTCTTAGACGTCTTGACAAGGAAGTGACATTGTTAAATGGGTCATAGAGCTCCATCTGATTCGATTCCAACGGCCTGTGCTCCTCATAACCTCCCGGCGGTGTGCTTTCATGTAAAGTTTGAGTAAATAATGTAACACTGTTCCACATTAGAGATCTCGGTCCTCATCACCCCGTGATCCGTTACAGAGGAAAGCCTCCTTTTCCGGGGTCACACTGTCCCTGTTTAGGCCTCGGGCGGGTTTGTACACACTCAGTTCCTCGTCCATACTGGAATGGGCCAGTGTGGCTTCAGTACTGTGCCAGATTCCATAGCCAAAGTAGATTATGAGTCCTGGAGAGAACAGAGGGATAATGGAACAAATTATTGACCGCATACGTGCCAAGTGCTTTTCGGGAGCCCCACCAGACTTTTGTAATTGTCAAATGACTGAAAGCCTTTATTTGATCTTTACAAGTAGCAAAACTCGTTTACGAGTGGCCGGACCATATTTCAAAGGTTTTTTGACAAGCATACTGGCTCGTGCAGGAGAATGTGCTGTACCTATAGACATCCAGATGGCGAATCGGATCCAAGTACCCCTGTCCAGCTGCATCATCAGGTACACGTTGACAAACATGCTGACCACCGGGATGAATGGAAGTAAAGGAACCTGTTGGAAGACATCAAAAAATGACTGGAATGTGTAATTATTACACATTAGTCAGTGAGCGTCTACAATAAAGAAATGTCAAGTTCTTAGAAATGTACTAATTTATTTATGTTTGCTTGAGTGTTACTTTAGTATTATTCCTATACTATTATAGTATTTATTAATATTTTTAATTTTGTGCTTTCATTTTACTTTTAGTTGAAGTTTTAGTAATTTTGTGCTTTCTTATTTCGATTTAGCTTTATTTTTATTTCAGTTTTAGTTTTAGTAATTGAAGTACTTCAACTTAAACATTTAATTAGTTGCCTAAACATGTTTAATTTTCATACAAGTTTTAGGTTTTTAATCTAACATTTATATTTTATTTTATTTCAGCTTTATTTCAGTTACCGGAACTATTTTAGTTTACAATAACAATGGCTGGTTTCATGTGGCTTTGAAAAACTTTTTTGAAGGAATTTAGAAGAATATTCATCTTATTTATTAAAATAAAAAAGTATTTAAATGAGGTTCAAATATTTAGAAGTTAAAAGACCAAGTTCAAATATATAATGAAAAACTATGTGACCCTGGACCACAAAACCAGTCATAAGTAGCACAGGTATAATAGCCAACAATACACACTGTATGGGTCAAAGTTATCAATTTTTCTTTTATGCCAAACAATTATTAGGATATTAAGTAAAGATCATGTTCCATGAAGATATTTTGTAAATTTCCTACCGTAAATATATCAAAACTTAATTTTTGATTAGTAATATGCATTGCTAAGAACTTCATTTGGACAAATTTAAAGGTGATTTTCTCAATATTTAGATTTTTTTGCACCCACAGATTCCAGATTAATATTGTCCTATCATAACAAACCATACATCAATGGAAAGCTTATTTATTCAGCTTTCGGATGGTGTATATATCTCAATTTCAAAAAATGTACCCTTATGACTGGTTTTGTGGTCCAAGTTCACATATATTCAAAAACAATAGTCTTCATTGTAATATCAGGACAGTTATATTCCCATAACATTTTTGAGTGGGGAGGGGGGATTCCATGATCCATGTAATAATTTTAAAAGGTGCATTCAAGTAATTTTCTGTATGAATCTTTTTTAATTTTTTGGTAATATATTTTTTAAGAGATGCGGAAAAGATTTAAATAAGCATTATGTCACTTAACCACATGAGTATTTGGCTTCTTGTGTATAATAATTAATAATCAACTTTTATATGGATTATATGAAACTAACACTATAAATAGTAAATCTACTGTACTGAGTTTATTGGGTGTGACCACATCCTGGTACTCTGTTAGATGTGCATTAGCACTATGAGGACTAACCTTAAAAGAGAGCTTGGTTTTACTCTCGGGTTGTCTCCAGATGATAAATGTGACAATGACACACATGCTGAACAAGACACTGAGAGCGACAATATTCCACATTGCACTTCCGCCCAGGACGGCCATCAGACTGAAGCTGAAGATCAGCAGACCTGGAAAAGAAGCAGTTTAGATGAACAGCTGAAAGAACAGCTGAATAAAGTACTAAAGCACTAAAAAAAACAGGATCTGTCTTAATCTGGTATCACATTGTTTCATACCAAGCAGACTCGCACAGACGTTAACGGTGAAGCCTGAAAGGTTGGAGGGTTCAGTGATGTTGGGGAAGATCAGCGTTTTGAAGCTGAAACGCTCTTCTATGCCAGGAAGAATCCCCATGCTGGGCGTACTTATGGTCTCACTCATTTCCATCTCTTCCTGTGTGTTGGATATGTGATATGTTGGAGAAAACTGCTCGGGCTGGTACCTGTAGATTACAATGTCATATTTTTTACAATGAACAGCCTAATTGTAATGACACAAATATTTAAATGCATTAAATTCACATGCATCTGCCCACCTTAGTACTAGAACACAGGCAGCGACCAGTGTGTAGGCCAAAAGAGTTCCTATAGACATCAGATCAACCAGGTCCTTCAGGTCAAACAGGAAAGCCATAATAGCTGCACAGGAATGGAAAGGATCGATTTATGGTCATCTGTTTTGATGACAGGATGATAGGATTGAAAGCTATATATTTTATGTAGAGAACATGCATATGTTGTAATACTATTTAGGCCAGCATTACTGGTACATAAACATGATTCCCTCAAAATACTCCTATGGAATCTATTTGTGTCTTGTTTGTCAGTGAACAGTGAACAATTAAATACATAAATAAAAAACAGTAATTTGTTTTGCAATCAAAAGAGTCAATATTCATGGATTATCAGTTGTTACAAAACATTTATAGACATGTTTAAAAGCCCATTTGTATTGTTGTGATATTTGTAAAATTGAAAAAAGGCACTTTCTACAAATAGGGTATAAAATAATACCACATTTAACCTTAGAAGGCATAAAGGGGGGTTTATAAAAATGTTATCAATTAATAATAATAATAATAATAATAATAATATATGTTTTAGGAATTTCTAAAAACCCTCAATGTCATTTTTATACTTCCTTTTCATAGAATAGGAAAAAAGAAAAAGAAAATGATATCACTACTACTACTACTGAGACTCCATAAAGGAATCAGAATGACCTGACTAATGATTTACTTAACATGGTGGTTCTTGATACGTTTTTGTCAATAATAATAAAGATGTCTGAAATATTCTGTCTCTGTCATCATAGATAATTTTCACATAATCTGTGAGAAATTTGGGGAGTGAAAATGGATAATTTAAACTGCCTTTATGCATATAAGCATTTGATTCATAGGTTAAAAGCAAAAAAGTTACAAATGCCATGTTATCTAGAGGTAACTATCAGATATTGTATATATATATTCTGTCTCATCATAGATAATTTTCACATAATCTGTGAGAAATTTGGGGAGTGAAAATGGATAATTTAAACTGCCTTTATGCATATAAGCATTTGATTCATAGGTTAAAAGCAAAAAAGTTACAAATGCCATGTTATCTATCTAG